ATGAGATAGAAACGGCACGATAGAAAGCAAATAAGAGTGAATAGGGGACTAGAAAGGTAGTGGGAAATAATCTATAAAGCCCCTCTTGCAGAAGCACTCATCGGTGTCCTGCTAAGAGATTGATGTACGGTTTGAAAAAGCCGGGGTGAGGGAGATAGAAGTGGTAGACAAGGTGGAGGTAATGAAATTCCCTCATACACTAATCGACAAAATTCCCTGATGCGATAAGGTACGTTGGGTAGGGGCAGATGGGGAGCAGTGGGAAATTATGATTAATCATAGGCCTGAATTTATGAAGGCTGGAACAAAAATGTGGAGTTCCTGGAGAGGAACGAAGTGGCGCGTTCTTCCTCTTGCCAAATCTGGTCTGGAGTTCTGGTCAATCGTGAATTAATATCCAGATCTGCATTCATGTTCAGACATGATGAGGTCATGTCCATCCCTAAATATTGATCTCTGTTTGCTCCTACAAGAGATAATCGCGTGCAAGTCAATTCTTCGGACTCTAACTTCGTTAGAGCAAGTTCCTCTGGCGAAACATGCGGTAACTCACGGTCACTCGGTTTTCGAGGGATTACAGCTCTTAGAAGTTTACCGGATGATAACGTTAGTGTGGAATTCAAGATAAACTCGCGATTGGTGGAGCATGTTACGGGTTACGTCACGAATTGCCTCAGGACTGTTACAAATTGAAATTCCGAATTTTCTGTCTTGGAAAATCTCGTCTCGTCTCGTCCAGAGTTCTGTCCAAACTTGACGTGATGAGGTAATGTCCAGTCTTAAATATTGATCTCTGTTTGCTCCTACAAGAGATAATCGCGTGCAAGTCAATTCTTCGGACTCTAACTTCGTTAGAGCAAGTTCCTGTGGCGAAACATGCGCTAACTCACGGTCACTTGGTTTTCGAGGGATTACAGCTCTCAGAAGTTTACCGGATGATAACGTTAGTGTGGAATTCAAGATAAACTCGCAATTGGTGGAGCATGTTACGGGCTACATCACGATTCGCCACGAGATTGTTACAATTTTCTTGTGGCCCATTTATCCGCAACGCTTATCCCGGAATATTTTGTCATGTTCTGCTCTTTACACAGCTCGTAATACCCCTACAGAGCCGTACTATATATCAAAGACTCATCATGAGATGTACACGACACGTGAAATACGTTTTGAGATTTACATAGATGGGTAGGACCCTCTCCCCGATGAAATTCACTCGCCGAAAAAACCATTTGCATTATGAAGGAGAAATCTCTCCGCACGCTCGCAGCGTGCATTTCAATCTCGACGAGAGAGCGACGGTAGTTTCCAGGAATATTGATCTTTCCAACTTGTTGCACTAGACTGGGCTGGCTTGCTTGTAAAGTTATACATGATCCTCGTGTGCCTCAGACCAAACTCCCTGTGTGCGGATGATTTTACCAGATTGCTGTCAAGTTTGATACGTTTATGCAAATAAGATGGAGAGGATTTCACTGATCCTATTTGAAACTATGAAACTATCGGTTTATAATAGCAACTTTATCTTGTCGTGTCGCACTTGTCGATTTTGGTGTACGGCAACGTGCGGAAAAAATTTTTGTAGGAGAACTTAGTGGATCCGAAATTCAAGAGAATTTTCTGAACAGGAAGTGGAACAGCTTTATTTGAGGGAAATTAACGGACTCGATAGAAGGAAATTTCATATCTCTCACAAAACTTAAATTTTTGTCGTTTATACCACAGAAAGAACACATTGACGAGCAAAGGATTATTATTATTTTTTTCCCAGAAAAAAATTGTACCCTCGAAATTATCATTTGTTCACTTGATAAAACCGGAGTCGCATATAATGCTCTGTAGATCGAATGTATTTACCCGAAAGACATGCAAATGTCTCACGAGAACAATTACTCCTACAAAAATTATCATGTTTTGTGGACACTGTTCTTTTTGTCGACAAGTTAATTAATTCAACACGACAAGTGCAGTAATAAAAATAATATCTAATAATTATCCTAGTTCATCAGGATTAAAAAACAGCTCATTCCAGCTGCCCATTGAGTTCCAGGTAATCCCCTCAGTCATTAAAACCTGAGGACGGAAAATAGAGTGGAATATTTTTTTATAATTCAAATTTCCAGTTTCCACGTCTTTCAGCGAAATTATGTCCTCCCGTCCAATAACATTTTCCTTTGCGCGGGCTACGTCAAACAGCAATTAGCGGTCGCCCTAATGTGATTCTCCCCTCCCGCTGGCGCCCCGTAACTTCATCAGAATCTACTCCATAATGGTAATGCAATATGAGGAAAATTTCGGAATTACACGAAGTTTATTTATTCAATACTACGGCGGTTAATGCGATAAAGGCAACAGATACCGACCGCAGAGTTAATCCGATTGTATCAATTTTACAGCGGTTTTCCGTAAACAAGGGTAGAATTGAAAGAGACGGACGAATGCAGATGCGAGTGCTACTGCGAACCATTCATGACATGAAATTTGGGGGAGGGAGGGGGCTCGATCGCCGAGCGTTTGCTCCCAAATTTTGGGCGTTGGTAGGGGGAGGGGAAGGGGGGGGGTAGTACTACACGGGTGGGACGAACTAATTGTTTATGGATACAGGAAAAAAACAGAAGCTTTATTCTGAGAGCTGTGACATCAAATTGAAACTTGCGAAAGTCTCAAATTGAGATTTTTTAATGGGGCGAATGGAGACTTTCTGAAATCTCAAATCGAGACACCCCTTAAGGGTATCCATGTATTTTTTAGAGTTTAGTACAGACCACCCGGTAGATTGAACAATTTTCAATCATCAAATTTGTCGATTGAATTGCGTGAGAAAAATTTGGTAAAAGTCATGAATATTCAGCGTTATTCAAATACGTTTTACATGGAATTATTGGTTTTTAATATTCGTTGTTTATAAATGAATAATTGAAATTGGTTAAACTTTCGGAAACCTTTTTTTTTGGACATGAAATCGATTTCTGGTGTAACTCGGAATATGAATATATTTTTTACGATTTCGGACAAATGATTTTTCTGGGGGAAGTTGATTATTTCTAAATTATTGATAAAAAATGCTCGTAATTTTCAAAATCTAAGACTTTTAAAATATTATTTTATGACCTTTGAAATCTTGAAATGAGGTATTATTTTTTTGGATTTGTTCTTAGAGAGACGCTCCAATAAAAAAAATCGGCGGAATTTTTAATTTTTTTTTGCGGAGTTTATTCTTCTTTGGTCTCTACATTGCCAACGCTGTCGGTAAATTATCCCATGTAGTTAATTATTAGCTCACAGTAAGACAGTCGATACCCAGTGAATGCACAACGGTGAATATTCCTCATGTGGGTGAAGTTGTAATTGTTTAAATCAACAAAATTTTGGAACGTTAATACCAATATTTAAGCGACGGGCTATTCAGAACTCTCAAAAGTATGTGGAAAAAGTGAAAACTGAAAAAAAAAATTTTTCACCGGGGGCCAAAGTGTCAGATCTTGGATTTTTCCAGTGGGAAATTCGACTTTCGCCAAAATCAAATTTTTTAGCCGGGTGAACGTTGATTCCAACTATTTAAGCGACGGGCTATTCAGAACTCTCAAAAGTATGTGGAAAAAGTGAAAACTGAAAAAAAAAATTTTTCACCGGGGGCCAAAGTGTCAGATCTTGGATTTTTCCAGGGGGAAAGTCAACTTTCGCCAAAATCGAATTTTTTAGCCGGGTGAACGTTGATTGCGCCACTTTTGTACACGCGAAAAAGGCGATGACTGTAAAATAATACCCAAAAAGGAAGAAGTTAGTCGTGTCTACAGAAAAAATAACCAATCAACTGAATACAACCTTCTCCGAAATAATTTGTCACGTAATAGGGGCAATTGTGTGGGCTAGATGTTGTCTGTGCTTTCTGCTACGAAATATGTGTCATAATTAACGACGTCGTGCCAACGATATTGATTTTAGCAAAAAAAGTGTCAGCTGATAATTATTAACACGCAATAGTTTTGGTGGGCGTAACGCGTTTGACGATGTTTTTTCTGTCAGTGTAACTCACCCGAAAAAGAGAGAAGATGAAGCGCTGGCTTTTGGTGGCAAATAATCTAATAATATGATTAACTACAATGACAAATATTAGTGAAAAAACAAAATGTGTCTTTTACAGGTCGGCCAGCCCTTTGCCATGCGATGTCGTTGCAGAGCCCTCGGCTTCGACACTACAGGTCGAATAAACTTTCGAAAATAATTTTGATTGAATAAATGAGAGTGACCAATAGTCTAATGCGCCGATGCTCGATTTTCCACGCACCTCAAGTTGAAACTGTTAATTATATCGCCAACCCGTCATACCGGATATTAAAAAACCGTTGAACAACTGAGGAAATGGGAAATAGGCATCGAATGATTGGCGCCAAGTGCCGTATATGAGTGATTTTCACGAATATGATGGCGCGATATATAATTGTTGAAGCATTTCCTGAAAACCTATCATGTTCTGCAGAAGATCACCCACATATGAGTATCAAAACAGAATTTTGTTTTGATGAAAATTTTTTTCCTGAAATGAAAATTATTATACATTCTCTTCCTCGTTCTGGTTATCTGCCCATTTCAGAGTTCTCTGCCTTAATGCTTTGGAATGATGCTCATCGATTCTCGCGATGCATCGCAAATATACCAATTACCTACACTATTTTTACAATTCTCGATATAATACCGGTCATTATAATTCTGTTGCTTGAATGCCAACTTCGCAGTGTAGAATATTGTACAATCTCTCAGTGGAGTCATACTGATAATTTATGAGCTTGTTGAACTCCCTTCATTTTCCCGTGTAACACTTGGTAATCCTTCTGCATGGGCCTGATTTTTCACACCATTGATCGTCTCTGAATGTGCACATCTTTGCAATTCTCATCTACAGATTCTGTAGAAATGAAAATCTGAAGCTGTTTGAGTGCCCTGTTAAGGCATTGCCTTGGAGCTCCTGATGAAAATGGTTTGCTTGTCCGTCATTGCAGGACTATGACAGCCATCTGCTTCGTTTGCAATCTGCCAATTCTGAGCCACCAAGTTGGCTTGGTGTGGCAGGGCGGCAATGGGTGGGATGATCTTGTTAGGGAACAGGTCGAGGAGTCGACGCTCAAACAACGGCTGGGTAAGATTCAACGGAAATTTATCGATGACTCGTGTTACGTTCGAAGATTTATTTATAAATATTATTCTCGAATTGGTGATTGTTCACCTGTATTTTTTTGGGACTTTACTGTCGTCACATATTTTTGATTACCTCAACGTTGGCAGCCAACATTGCCCCAACGTTAAATTTTTTTTACGTTTTCCTGAATATTGGCTTCAAAATAAATTTTTTCAACAACAGATGATCCACTAAATCTCATGATCGTACTTGATCAGAAGTCTAAAAATAGCTCATTCCATTTCCTAAAACCAGGATTAGTTGTCCTGCCACAGAAAAATCGGAAATTTCGGATTTGCCGAATACAATGTTTCCATTTCCTGTAATAAATTAATATTTGGGTAGATCATCGAAAAAACATATTCTCCTCAGGAACTGGCAGGAGAGATTCAGCGGCTCAAATAGGCGCCTCAATTTCCCCGCCAAATGAGATCCAAGAATCTCCCCCAATCAATCAACGCCGGCGAAGATCCAGCTTAGCGGATATCCTGAGGGAATGGGGTGGCGGTGCTGCGAACAAGAGTAAAAGTGCCAACAAACTTTGCCGTAGGGAAACTCTTGCTGACATTGCTAAGTCTCTGCCGTGGTCACGACAACAAACTACGGATACGAGTCACGCGAGTATCAAGAAGCGTCGGGAAAGTTCGGTTGACAGTGGTATAAAGAGTCAGGTCTCCAGTAAATCGAGGAGAGATTCGACAATCAGTGATTTTAAGAATGACTTTGCCAAATTATGGAATAAGCGAGAGATATTCCAGCCGCAACCGCCACCGACGATCATATCGCCGACGCCGAGAAGAGGTGATACGTTTTTTCTTCGTGTAAATTTTTATTTCAAAAATTTCACACTTCAAAACAATTTCCAAGTCATCGTTTCCTTTACTTCGGATAATATTTTTGTTCTCGCAAGGCTCCGGCGAGTCGAAGTACTCTAGGCGAGGCTCCGGCGAGAGCGCCCGTTCCCGAAGAGATTCGGTCGCCGGCAGCGAGAGAAGACACCAATGTCGCCACCACCGCCGCAAACAATCTCAACAGTCCCAAATATCCGTCGACGTCGCATGCATCACTCCCACGAAGTACTACAGAAGCGATCAGAGACCGAGTGCTTCGAGTACAGACAGCGCGGCATCGGCAGCTGTGAGGGACCACCTCGAGGCACAAAGAAGCATGGAAAAGGTCGAGCCAAGGAATCACCTGGCCCTAGACGCGAGACCCGCTCAAGAGATGAAGTCGTCGTCCACCGAGACGAGAAATTTTTTGACGTTAGAGCCAACAGTGAACACCCCCACAATTATAATGTCTTCCGTAACGCCACCAGCTATTTCCCCAGTAGCTGGAAATAGTCTTCCTCTACCTGGTACTTCCACATCAGGGAGTTCCAGTCCTGTGGGCTCTCCCAATCTCAATCACAGTGCACCTCATCCCCTTTCCGCCACCCGAAGGGATTCCACGACTCAGGTGAATTTTCATTCCACTTGCATGAGTTGTATCCTATTTTCCAGGGAATTGGCTCTCAATTTTCGTATAATTTGATTTCGATGTAGTGTTATTATGGCAAGGTGAAAGAAATATCGCCGAATAAAATATCAAGATTGACGAGACAAGCGGCGACAATCGACGAATCACTCTCACCCTCTGGACGACGCGGAAGCCAACCAACTCTGTCACCAGATCCTGATGATGGAGGTACATCAATACACTGCACTGTTGGGAATTTTTTGAAACTTTGTGTGAATTTTTAATGTTGTGAATAAATATTAGATTTTTTTTTTGTTCATTATATTATTTTGAATCCCATTAAATTCAAACTTTAGCGTAAAGAAGGACGCAATTAGCTGTCCGTTCACTTCCAATGGTTCAGCAGATGAGATTCACAGATCGACAATGTTTAATTAGTCAGGCCACAATTTAACTCATTCAGAAAAATTTATATAAAAAATTATAAAAATCCATAATATATTCGTTATATATTATAATTATTATTATTATTATATATTCAATAATAATAATAATAATAATAATAATAATAATAATAATAATAATCATAATATATAATCCATTATTGAATATATATTATAATTATAATATATATTCAATAATGGATTATATATTATGATTATTATTATTATATATTCAATAATAATAATAATAATCATAATATATAATCCATTATTGAATATATATTATAATTATAATATATATTCAATAATGGATTATATATTATGATTATTATTATTATATATTCAATAATAATAATAATAATAATAATAATAATAATAATAATAATAATTTTAATATATTACATATATATTAAATATATAATGGTTTTTTATATAAAAAAAAATATAAAATATATGTTTGATATATTTTTATCATATATTATAAATTTCTTTAATTAATTTTTGATGGGAAAAAAATCACATTAGTCGGATGCAATTGTTGTTCCATTAATGTTTTCATTCAAGGTCGAAAGGCAAGAAGAGACTCATTGAGCCCAGACTCAGCCTCATATCCAAGACGTCGCGACTCCAAGAGCCATCTGAGTCCGGACAGATCGGCTGATAAACGCGACATTAGTCCCATTAGACAAAGAAGACAATCAAGACTCAGACGACAGTCTACCTCCATTGCTGGCAGGCCGGCGAGGTGACGAACATTTCATCCTCAACAGTAATAATTTCGATAAACTATTTTCTTTGTTATTGTAAAATGGGAATGAATTGCTTCCAGATCTCCGGACAGCTCCACCTGTTCGTCCCGAGACCCGAGTCCGTGTGCTCGGGGCCCGGGGAGTCTCCAGCACGCTCCAATAATCCGAAGACAATCAACAACCGAGGAAATCCTCATTGCCCGCGGCTTTCGGCGACAAAGCACAACTGAAGAAATGATCAGATGCCGAAATTTTCGGCGACAGAGCTCTCAAAGTGATGACACAGTAAGCTATCACGATTCCTCGATGTCTTGAGTTATTTTAGGGTGATGTTGTTGATGAAGATGGGGACAATAACTTAAAGTGTCTCATTTATTTTAAAGTGAATGAATGAGACTCTCAAATTAATTTTCGAATAGATTCCGTTGACGACAAGTGGAAAATTGCTTTCGTTGCAACTTAGTCAGACGTTAAATTTTTTTAACTTTCCCTGAATATTGTTTTTAAAATAAATTTATTCAAAAACAATAAATGTATAAATAAATTTATTTTTTATTTATTTTGTAATCATTTTTCTAATAAATTTATTTATTAATAAATAAATAAATATATAAATAAATTTATTTATTTTTAATCATAATTCATTCATTTAAACAATTATTTTTTCAATTATCTAAAAACGATCGGTCACATACACACACACATGGATAGATACATCCGGACATGGTCTGAACATAGCATGTTCGAACTCCTGAAGCCAAAATTAGTTATTCTGACACAAAAAATTGGAAATTTTGGATTTGACGAATACAATGCTTGCATTCGGAAGCAAAAATACTATCCTCTTTCCTTTTTGTAATAATGCATCTCAAAGTAATAAATAAAATAATGCATCTCAATACGGAAATATTTTTTATCAAAAGGTACAAAGATATCGGGGCCGCCGCGACAGTTCAGCTCAAATAACAGATGGAACGTTTGCTACTATGACTGTGGAAACATCAAGCACCTTTTTCGATAGCAGTACTCAAACTGGTGAGTACGACAAGTATTTTATGTTATTTCAATACACATTTAGAATGGGGTGGAAAGAACGAGTTAATTTAATTCTCAAAGAGCATGCGATAAACGTTCTTGGGCTCCGGACATTAATTATAAATTGAATGGCTTTAACGATTACTCATCACGAAAAGAAGGGAACGAAGAATGGGAAGACAGAGAGATCTTCATAATTCCCACCAAAAAAAATGATGCTTTATGTTAGGATTTCTACGGTGAAAAGTATTTCTCGTAGAAAAATAGCTGCACTAGTTGGACATCTTTAAATTGAATTCTAAAAATCTCACTTCAAGACCCTAATTCTCAAAATAAAGCTCATTTTCATCACAAATGTCCCATGAACCTCACCCTCAGTGGACAGCCAGCCCTTCAACCCCTTGGCAATTCCCTCCAATTTTAATCACCAAAAAACAAATACCCACCGTAACACGCGATTCCACCCAAAACTCCCCTCTCAACCCATTGTTTTGAATTTTCCCGGTAGTGTACCATCGGCCAGTGGGTGGCTGATCAAATCTGAGGGTCCTCGCAGGCGCATAGGTGCCTGTTTCCGATACTCACTCGACTGGCCCCCAGGCGTGAAGAGATAGGGATGAACGCGTGCGCGAAATAGCGTTAGTTCATTGAAAACAACGCGGGGGTGCACAACAGTCGATAGATGAGAGTGTCCAAACGTGTGTACTTATAACTTTTCCATCAAAGTCGAAGTAATCGTGCTGATTGTGTACGAGAAGTCCTTCGCGATCCGCGGAACAGCACAATGTTCGCGAGTTGACAGGCGACGTGCGACCGAAAAATTTCCCGCGGGGAAAATTCGACGGTGAAATGAACTCTGCGATAACTAATTATCCCCTGGAAATTTAAGATGTGTTTTTAATAACCGCAGAGGGGCGGGAGGAAGAAGTTAAGTGCAAAGACACGTGGTAGGAGCGAGTGGGGGCCTCAGCGTTGACTGAGAAGTCGCCGAGAGAAAGAAAGCACAACCCATTTTTTCGCAGGACCATTTCGAACAATTAAAAAACTATTTCCATGGTAAAAAAAAGCTGTAGCACGAACCCAAATAGTGAGGATATATTTTTTTATCGAGTCAAAAGAATAATTGGGTAATGAATCCGGATGGGAAGCGATAGGAAATTGTAATCACAACGGATGTCACTCAATTTCCCTCTCCTCATTGTGTGATATTGTCAAGTGCGGGTAATAGCGAAGCTTCGATTTTTCATTAGGCCACGCGGTGGGTGGTGTCCTTCCTAAGGATTTCATTGAACTGCCCCAACGCCCCGATGTATACGACCTCCAATCCAAGTTGATTGTGATCATATCGACCATCTGTGATTCCTACCGAGGTGTAATCTCATCTTGGCTACATGTCACGAGATAATTGAAGGGGAAAGCTTTCTCCTGTATCTGTCATTAAATTACTCGGTTTTTCCGTTGTTTTCACGCAACTGAAGGGATTTGTCGGTGTTTCGTATGATCAATGAAGTTAACTTGGTCATTGAGATGGATAATAGGGCGGCATTTGCGTGACTGAATGCCGTACGTCTGGGGGTCTCTACGTGCCAAGTAATTTCATGAGCGCACTGCTGGCTATAGCAACCACTTGTGGCGGGGTAACGTGTGAAAACTCCGGTGAAAAACTGGTGCTCAAGAATGACCAAGGTGAATGGATAACGCGGGTGATAAGGATCAGACAGTTGTGAAAGTGGTGGACGAATTTATTTTTTGTCCGCAATTTTCTGCGCTCGAAATTCCGGGCCCTATCTGACGCTGAAAGCGAGAGAACGACTATTAGCCAGTGCTGATGGAACCCGTAATTAGGTGTTGATTACATGCGGCGTATATACACTCGCGAAATGCCGTTATCATTGATCCTTCCATCAAGGCCACGTGCTCCTGATTCGATCAGCCCTTTCGTTTGTGCTCACGTCAACTAGGTTGCTGGAGTAAAGAAATGTCGAATTAATATTGGAGAAGGTAAACAGGCGAGCTCTTCGGAAATGCCGTCTGAGTAAACTGGCCCTTCCTTTTTTTATTTGAAGAGTCAAATCAATGGGTTTACTCGGACTATTTGACAAAGTTAGATGTTAATCGTGATATGTTCAAGGGTTTCTTTTTATAATATTGCAGTGAGAAAAATAATTACTTTTCACTGGGGATCTTTTTCTTGGGAGAATTGTTTCATTTTTTTTATTCAACGTCATATTTTGCGTAATTTTTTCATTATTCAATATAATTTTAATATTTGGAGATGGACGTGGGCCATTTGGGGGAAAAAAATTAATGATTCTCTCAAGAAAATGATTTCTTGAGAAACGTAATGTTTTTTTCATTTTGCGGTCATAATATTGATTTAACCGTTATCTAATACATTTTAATTGACATTTTAAAAATGTAATAGGAAAGAAAAACTAATTATTATTATTTAGATTATTATTTCAGATTATTATTATTGTGGTAATTATTATTTAAATTGAATAAATTTAGATTTAATTCGGAATTTCGAATTAAAGATAATGTTTCTTTGCATATTATTTTTTATTATTATTGAGGCGGTTGAACAGTGTAGTAATCAAAAATAAATCGATAATTTTTAGTACTTGAATGTTTATTGCACTGAGGGAGAATCTGATATCATATGGAGGGAACATACGTTCCCCCACAAGTTTATCTAGTAATACAAGACGTTCATCATTGTAACGGGGACATTGCCATAATATGGGGTTCAAGTCTTCCTCAGGACAAACACACACACATACACACACTCTGGGGACTCGGTAATATGGATTCTAGCCAAGGAAGTAGACAAAACTGTTTGTCGCCACTACAGGCTGGTGGCATATCCCTGAAAATCGAAGCTTTTTTTTCTCTGCGGACAATAATTCAACAGCGAAGCGAATAGTTAAATTTCCCGCTGCTCTTAGCACGAATACCCGGAAAGTTTGTCAATGGGAAATGCGAAGAGGTGAGCGCCGAGCTTCCTGACGAGCCATTACACCCTAGTTCTGGAAACTTGGCTCGGTTTTGAAGTCAAATTAGATAGCGATCGCAGTCGTATCGTATTTCCACACCGTCACACGGTCTCGTCTCATTACGCGGGGTGAGGGGGAGGGGGAGGGCGGCATTATGGGACATTACGCGGAGAATTTCGATCGGTACATTATTCAGTCAGCCGAATAAAAGCTGAGAGCCCAGAAATGGAAACGAGCATCGGGTATTGGTAGAGTCGACTGAAAAATGCAAAATCTGTTGAGTAATTCGGGAGTCGGTGGAGAATCGAAAATCTCAGTTCTAGCTAGACAAGTCACCCTCACTTCCAAGAACTTCTTTTAAAAAAAAGTTTATTACGTTTTTTGTCAGATTAGCCATCGCATTTTTTAAAATAAATAAATACATATATTTATTTATATATTTAAAAAAATAATGTATATACAATTATGGTTATATTTGCCCAGTAATAATTTAGAAAAATATTAATTTGCATTTTCTTTAACTAAATCGTTTTTAAATTAATTGAGGCTGAAATTTATTCAAGAAATGTATTCGTAACATATGCCACATTTCTTCTAAGGATATCCAAGTACTTTGGCTATTTTTTCTCCAGTGAATTCCTTCTCTACTTTTGTAGTCGAACATCAGAGCTTTTATCTGAGCCCCATTTGACCCTAATTTTCCGAATATTTTACGATGAATTTATTATTTAAACTTCGCCCGTCTGAATTTGAATCCCGATATGAAACCGTTGGAAAACATTTTAAAAATCTGAAAAAAATGGAAATTTTACTTTTGGAGGAAGATTAATGAAATAATTAAAAAATTGCAATTTTTGAAAATAATGAACATTTCCTATTTATAAACAATCAATTTTCCACCACAAAAATCATTTATTCACAATCGTAACAAATTCATTCATATTAAAAAATGGGGTTTCCGAAAGTGTAGACAATTTCAATTATTTATTTTCATTTATAAACCACGAATATTAAAAAAAAAAAATTCTGTGCAAAATGTAATTTTGATGCCGCTGAATATTCTAAAAGATACTTGGATATCCTTAAAGTGAATACTTTATGAACTCATCATCTTCAATATTTACTCTATGCCGCTGAATGTTTATTTATGCCAAACAAATTTGCAAGAACGTGCAAAAATTTCCGCGATTTTCTTTCCCCTCCACCAAAAGGGACTTTTGAAATTGCAACACATGGCCACCCAGAAAACTTTGATGTAGAAGTTCAGGGTCTGAGGAATGAGCATGAAGTATTCAACGAATGTAAGTACTAGAATGCGTAATTAGATCGCAGATGGAATTCGATATTCTAAAGTGTTCCGGCTTAATCCCGGCGAGCTCAAGGATTACTCCGCCGTCATATGAAAATTCTTGGGCATACGCGTTGGAATCTCTCCCCATTGAAGATTTTTTCGACCCCAATGAAACTGATAGTCACGCTGGGAGAGAAAAAAAATAAGGAAAAATAGGAAAGAGGGACCACACCCTGTAGAGCCGTTTCTTTGCCTGTCGCTGGGAGGCAGTCCGAGATCGAGGGGCCACAGTGAGATGCGCGAAAAAAAAACTAAAGATTGGGGAAATAAATTCCATCCGGGGATGAGGGCTCGAAGATATCGGGTAAAGACGTTTGATTAATACCAAACGTTTTATTCGTTTTCTCGTAAAATTCGGTGGAGAGGAATAACCGTTTCGGCCCTTCTCATTTTTATTTCTTATCTCTATTTTTATTATGCCATTCGCAATTGGGGGACTGAAAACAGAGCCATCACCGCCCTACGACAACAACCACTATCACGAGGAGTGCCTGAAATGTAACAGCTGTGGCCTCAATCTCACAGGACCCAATCAGAAGAGGGCAAGGCGGTGAGTACTCCGACAATTAGTTGGGATCAGGGCCATTTGTTACCGGATGGCACATGAGACACTCGCGGGCTCTCATTTATTTTCGTGGTATTGAAAATAGAGAGACCCAGGGAAGTTCAATTGTGGACGATGTGGACAATATTTTATAGCAAATCCTAGCGAATGCGCTGGGAAATTCTTTTGGATGTCTATTCAAAATAATACCTTATTTAAAGATTTCAAATGTCTTAAGGATATCTAAGTACTTTGGCTATTTTTTCTCCAGTTTTACCACTGTATTTTTCTTCTCTCTTCACGAGAAAAGTCAACCAAAAAAATTCAGAAAATTCGAGCCGAGGAATTTTCACAGAAAACATCCCAACAGCTTAAGCTGTGCAGAAAAATCGAATCCTATTCATTTTTTCTATAGAATATTTTCCACTGGACATTTCTATTCAATGAACTCCATTTCAAGAACCTAAAAAAATGTCCCGAATTACTTGGCCATCCTCAAGTAGTCGCCTGAAGTTCCTTTATGCCCTAGGTTTAAAAACCAGATACTTTGCGATCTGCATTTTGCGGACGTGGCGCTGATGGAGTGTTCCGATTTTATGCAGCAGTTGCGCAGCTTCAAGCCCCAAAGTTTAGGCTGCGCAGTTGCCCGAAGAAAATCATCAACGACACTGATATTTCCGTTGCCTCCGCAGGCTTGCTCAGGTAACTCCCTCATTAACGAAAACGGCATTGAAATAATTGACTTTTGCATCTAGCCAGATGGTCTCCGAACCCAATGCGAAGCGAGTGAGTCCCCATCGGTTCACTCTAAGTTCGAATACCGAGCCCTGTACGAAAACAGCTTGGTGTTCTACCTTACAGTGACTCGCTGGCGGTCATAATCCTACGAGGCTGTCCCCGGATCAATATTAATCCCGGTACATGTCAAAATTGCGTGATGAATTTGCCTTTGTCCTAAAGTTTCCATTGAGTGATGTCAGGAAAGTTTGTTACTGCAACATATCCCCCGACGACATTTTCCAGATGAGTTTTGCCAGGAGTTTCCCCACAATCTCATACCCACACCTGGCTACTGGATCGAGTGCTCCCGGCAACAGATCACTTCGGATACAATCTGGGACGAGAGCGCGAGCGATCGCGATATCACTGATGCCGAGCAGGAGCAGCAGGAGCTGCAGGACAGGGCCTCCATCAACCGCCAGAGGCAGGAGTTTTGTCTTTTCGAGGAGAATGAGCTGGATGACGACGATGGGCCCAGGAAGAAGACCGTTATCGAGGAGCAGTGGGACAAAAATCAGGGCTTCGAACTTACCTCAGTCGAGCAGGAGACGTACGAGAAGTACTTCTACGGCTCTGAGCACTGGAATTATTTTACGAATGACGAGGATCTGGGCCCCGTTATTCTCAGTATCAAGCAGGAGACTATCAATGGCAGGGATCAGTTCAGAATACTCGTTCGGGCGATCAGTTACACTGTTCACGGGTTGATACCTGCCAGTTGTGTATTCGCTGATCGGTAAGAAGAATATTTTTGGGTATCTTGCATCCCCATCAAAAAATATATAATGTGGGTCAATTCCATTTTTTTTTCATATATTCTTTATCAAAAAATAATAGAATAATATTTTAATTAAAATATTTATAAAATATTATAAATAATCAATAATTAATAATAATAATAATAATTTTTTTAAATATATTTTTCAAAATATAAATTTTTCTGTCTACAGATACATTAGATGATGGGCTTTACAATAAAAAAAAATAGGATGATTTTGTAACGCATGATCTCAAATTGAGATTTTTGAAGTTCTCGAGTTGAGACTTTTAGAATTCCCTTTAAGAATATCTAAGAATCCATTGGATTTAGTAATATTTAGGTTGAAATTTGAAAATTATAAAATTATTTTATAAAATAATTCAATTTTCAATTGGCAATGAATTAAATAATTAAAAGCATGGGATTGTAAATTGATTATTGGGCAAACATTTCTAAATTTCTTAAAAGGAATTTTCGATTAGCCAAATAATCGATCTGATTAACAAAAGGATTCTGAATTTGAAAATTTAATTGGCGATTAATTTAATAATTAAAAATTGGTGAGTACTATTAACTATTGACTTCTTCAAAATTAAACATTCCTTAAAATTCAAATTAATTAAGACCTTTAAAAATCTTATCCTGGGACTAGAAACCTCAAAATAAGCTACATTTTTTTATCTGTATCCACTCCCTTAACCAGTTTCTAACTCCGACGGATTAATTTCCCAGATACAATCGCGAGGAAGTTGTGAAAAGTCTCGGTAAAGAGGTCAACATAAATCCCCCCTTGACCCTCGGCCAACTTCCTGATACACCCGAGGAACTTCTCAAATTAGATCAAGTCTTTATTAAATCCGAGTTGAAAGTCGGCGTTATTTACGTGCGAGAGAACCAGTACTCCGAGGAGGAAATTCTCGATAACAATGATAACACAGCGTTATTCCAAGAATTTTTGCAAATTCTCGGCGATAAGGTGCGTCTTAAGGGCTTTGACAAATACAAGGGCGGCCTCGACACCGTCCACGACCTCACCGGTCTGTACTCAGTCTACACCAATTGGCGTGGCATTGAGATCATGTTCCACGTGTCCACAATGCTGCCGTACGAAAAACACGATCCCCAGAAATTGCAGCGCAAACGTCACATTGGGAATGACATTGTTTGCGTGGTGTTCCTGGAGGCTGACAACACACATTTCAGTCCAGCCTGTATAAAGTCCCATTTTTTACACACATTCATTCTTGTGAGGGTCAGTCCGAGGATCAAGCGTAAGGTCACGAGGTACGAGGTCTCGGTTGTCACGAGGGATGAAGTGGGGGCGTACAAGCCCTACCTCTGGGAGCAGAGTATATTCGAGAAAGGGCCCATGTTTCGAGAGTGGATGCTCACGAAAATCGTGAATGGCGAGCGCGCGAGTTACTCAGCCCCGAAATTCGCGAGAATGCAGGAGAGGACGAGGAGTCAGATGCTGGAGGACATTGTGGCCAATCTAGCGAATCACGCGGAGACGGGACAGATTCCTAAACCCTACAGGCGGGGGTCGTGGAGGCCCATTGGGCACATGCGACCATCGTCGCCACTTCTGGATTCTGTTCGGGATCAGTTCGAGGATTATGATCAGCTCGCGAAAGACTTCACGAGGGTGTTTCTTAATAATGCTGCTAATATCGAACTCAATGCCAATTTGTTTGATGTGGCTTTTCTGGTTCCCGGACAGCAGAAGCAGAAGGTCAGGTTCATCGGGGTGAGGGCCATTCTCGGGGTTCGAAGCAGGTGAGTTCGAGGGTATTTTATTCATTCATTTATTTAGGCGTTTATTCGTCCCGGAAAATACTTTACTTCAACGATTTCAAGTCTCTTATTTTAAAATGCGATTTATCAATTATCGTTCACTGATAAAAAAAAAAATAAAAAATAAAATTTTGTGACAAAATTTTTGTTTCTTTTATTTTGTACCGGAATATTCATCTGTAACTGTCTTATTTTAAAATACGATTTATCAATTATCTTTCATTGGTAGAAAAAATAAAAATAAAAAAAATTGGGAAATTTTTTTTCTTTTATCTTGTACTGGAATATTCATCTGTAACTCCTTCGTAGAGTCTTCCAAGAAATGCTGTACGGCATTCAAACAGGATTCGGAAGTCCCCAAGTACCGGTGGCCGAATTACTAGCGCGACCAGTGCCGACACTGCTCAGCCCCCAAAAACCCAAGAGCTCGAATTTCCTTCAAGTACCGGACATCGAGAGTCCAAGGTACGTTGACAGATAATTTCCTCGTTTTCACCGTCCTCCGAAGAAATATGTGATGAAAAAAAATGCTCGATTCGATTCATGAAAGGCTACACTAAAATTGTGAATGTGAGACGATAAAAAGGATGGTGAGATTCGAAGATGATAGTTGGTATTAATAAATATCTTAATGTTGTATTTTGTTGTTTTATGGCACATCCATCTCTATATCCTTCTTCCCGAACGCACCGCATGCTTGAAAAAATTGTAAAACAAGTGGACAGTGGCATTTTTTTATAAATGCGTTAAAAATTGAATATTTTTGAGAACAATTTTTTCTTTTTGACTTCTAAATGTTGTGAAATAATATACAATAAGAGAACAAAGCATTGGGGATTGGAATTATTACATTCCGATCGTGGAAAAAATATCTGAAAGATGAGTGAGCTCTCCTGATCCTTTCAATTGCCCGTGAAATGTCTCAAATAAGATCGGAGACATTAGCGTTTCCCATACCCTGAAGTGCCGACTTACCGTTTCTGTGAGATACTGGCTCTGACTTGTTTAGGCCCAAAAGTGTGCCATCATCGCCAATGGTGAAACGAGCCTTCTCGCGATTGGGTACTATCACAGCTGGCTGGGGCAGGAGTATCAGGAAGCACAGCAATACTCTGCAGATTGAGGATCGAAAGCGGTGGACGAGCTCCCAGGATTGCAGTAGTAAGGATTTTCCGCCAAACTATAAGCCTAGTGGGAGCAGTCAACAATCCAAGTGGACTTAGCTCCTCATCCAGTTTCCCCCGCCCCGATTTACCCTGAATTTTTTTTTTCAGATAAAGAGATGAAAGATAAGGACAAACCAGGAGCTTCCCTAGCCGTTCCCCGACTGAGCGTTTGTGCAGACGCTCAGAAGGTGGATCGAGCGAAATTGGCGCAAACTGAGGTAAAAACAAGTCCATTTTTTTAATGGACAAATAAATAAAACGAAACAAAATCCACCCCAATTTTTATGAAGACCTTTAATTGAATTGAAAGCATTTTATTATACCCTGAGATACAAAATCTCCTAATGGCCACATCTTGTTTACAGTAATTTGTTCTTACTTAAAATCAAAGACAATTTATGTTGAAAAACATAATAAAAAGTCACGATCTAAGATCTGCAATTAGTTTAAAACAATCAATATCCCCAGACCTCTATTAATAAACTACCTGATTCCCAGTTTCTAAATTGTTATTTTGAAAAAGAATCGATAATTCAATAATTCTTTTAATCACACATTCGTGTTTCACATTAGGAATCGCAATCATGAAAAATGGAAATTGTCTAGTATTTTGTGCGAAGATTGTCCTGTAATTTCAAAGTAAATGATGCAACGATGCTCGTCATTTTGCAGTTCGACATAATAGAATTCGACCCAGAGACGTTCGGGATTCTCCTGGACTACCTCCACACAGGCTCCTGTCCCCTCACCTGCAGCAACATCCCAGGCCTGATATGTGCAGCCGAACACTACGACCTACCCGATCTCCTGCAGGCCTGCTTCCACCACGCCAAGCAATTCCTCAGAATCGAGATAGTCTGCATAATGCTGTGTGCGCTGGAAAACTACTACTGGCGTTACACATCAGCCTCCGAACTCGTGAACATGATCCTGGCGTTCGTGGAGACCCGGGCCTATCAGCTATTCCACAATCCTGGCTTTCTAACTCTGAGTGAGTCCATGGTACAGACGATCATGTGTCGTGGCCTCGAAGTTGTTGAGATTGAGAAATTCGAGGCGATGCTCAACTGGGCGAAGAACAAAATTAAAGTAAAAACGAATAATAAAAGTGATGCTAAGCATGAATTCAAGTGTATCATGGAGAGATTGAGCAAAGATTTGAAACTCTATCGAATAACTCCCCACGAACTGATCAGAATTGTTCTGCCGACGAGAGCTATTAAAAACGAGAGGATCTTAGAGACTTTAGTTTTCCAAGCGAATTCGGGAATGTATCGAAATTCCGATTCATTTTTGGAGGACTTTCAGAAGAACGTGGATAATCAGGACAGTTTCGACTGGGGTTTATGAACATCGCTGGTTAAAAAATGTCTATTTTTCTTGGCTCACGTTTCAACGTTATTTTTACAAAAAATCGCAGTCGAGGGCTTCTGCCGAAAGATCTGTAGAAAATTATACAATAATGTTTCTTGGTGCGTATGCATTAAAGATGACAGATGAATACGGAAGTGTTTGATGGAGAATATGGTGTATGTTAATTGCTGCTGGCAGTCCAATTTGGTATCGTTGTGTTACCACCAACTGCTTATTTTGTACGTTGTTTTATGGGCAGGACCCGATATCCCAACACCTCATCATAAACTATAATGAAATATTGAGAATTTTGAGAATATATGGTGGCAGTTATGTTTTATGCTAGGGTTGTGAGATAATCAAACGAGAATGGCAGCACAATTCGAGGTGATTATAATTCGATTGATAAGATAAATTATGTAATTGTAGGTGTTTGTGGGAAGAACGTATTTGCGTGAGTTGATAAGGCTCAATGTACCTCAATGATGGAGCGATGATTGACTAGAAAGTAAGGCAAAGTGAATTTTCTTTTGAGTGGTCTCTGTCCGGGCTGAATTTCTCCGCAAAAATTTTTTTATTCAATTTTTTTGTCATGTTTTTTCTAGGAAGACGAGGATTTTTTATTTTAGGAAGTAATATTACTGTGGAATTGTTTCTTTATTTTACAGGTTTTATTTATATTCTTGCGAAAGACAAGATCACCGGAAGGCTTTATTGACGGAAGTTCAATTTGACAAAAGTTGAATTAACGAAATGTTCATTTTTCCAAAGTTGATTTGACCAGGTTTTTTTGACGAATATTAATATAAATTAATATGAATTGGAGTTCCGGTTATTTCGATGAATCAATGAATTTTAAAAGCATTATTTATTAATTTTTTTATTATTTGTTGAGGAGTTTAGCCGTAGAACCGAGTGGCCAGTCTATTCATTTTTTTAAGCGTAATGAACTGACGTCATTCAGGAAATGAATTCGCGTCCGCAAAAATGTCGTATTTGGACATTTCATTTGTGGAGAAAATTGATCTTCTGCCGTGGAAACTCCCGAGTCTGACCACTGGTTCAAGTTTCACGAGAATCAAAATTCAATGGTTTTGAAAAAATTGTGAAACGCAGGAACAGATCACCATATGGTGATCAGATATAAAGAATCATATTTTGTATCTCACCATCTTGGGAAGACGTACGAAAAAATTCATAGAAGAACTCAGCGAATTCGACGGATAATTCTGGTGAACTTTTTACACTGCGAAAAATTTTTGGCTGAAATTTTCGGTACATTTTTTGGAAATTTTTATCGTGTTTGAGTTCCACGGAAATTTCGAGGAATTTCATGAAAAAATCAATGCGAATTGTAAATGTCAGTTCAATTATTTCCTGAAAATCGATAGAAATCCGTAAAATTCCGGTGTAGTAAATATTTGGCCGATTCTATTGAAATGTTCAATAAAAAATATTCCATAGCAAAAGTCATTAGAATTAGATTTTTCAAATTAACATTTATTCTGTTTAGATATTTTTTGTAGAATTTTTCGGCTCAAATTTTCTTTTTTTTTTCATTGAGAAAATCAAACAAAAAAATTTGGAAACTTCATGTCATGAAATTTTTATAGAAAAAGTCGTCTAGAAGAAAGAAAATTCATTGATTTTTTCTATGAAATCTCTTTTATCGGACATTTTTCATCAAATTTCTTCACTAGAAGTTAAATAGAAATCCAATCGAATTTTCTATCGAATGCGCTAGATTTTTCTCTGAAATTTTTTCGTGCAACAATGCCGGCAAGACATCTCTTTTTGACTTTTCGCTGGAACACAATAGGATTCTTCCACGCGTGTGGGGAACAAAAAATACAAAAGGAATGACAATTTGCCGATAATGACAATCTGTATTATAGAAATTCCCTATTCTAATAACGTTAAAAATTTAAGGCTTCCTGAATTGAAGATAAAATCATAGATATATTATATGAATTCATAAACAACAATGTTGCTATTAATTGATGAACATACTATTGAGAGTATATAACGAGAAAAATAATAAAACAAGTGTTAATAATGAGTGTGAGATAAAAGAAAATAACGTTGTTTAATGTCTATTCTGTTTTCTATCGTAGATTTTGTATCTCTAATACTCTAAGACAGAGATTCTAATATAGAATGTTTGAAAATCGATGAGCGAGGGCTGTACAACTTGGCAGATCAACTCCACCCCATTTGTGTTTGATTATTGAACAAAAATGGTTGATAAAAATTTCGGAATGTAACATGAATTCTACAAAATCGAGGTATATTTTTCAACGTTCAGTATGCTATAAATACCAGACATATCATTCGTAAAGAAAAATTATTTGTATTGAGAAATTGACATCTGTACATATTAGTGTAGCCCAAGCAAACAAGATTTGATGAAGTTCGATGTACCATAGTATTCTCTAAGATCCATTTGAATTATCAAAATGAATTGAAAAATATGGGCGGTTCACGAGAGAATTCCTCATCTAGATTTCTACGGTTCTAGGGCACCTGTTCCCCGAAAAATTGATCTCCGAAACAATGTTCTCCGCGTTTTCTATACTTTATTTTTATTTTTCTTCTATACTTGATTTTGCAATTCGTTCGCGGAAAATCGCTCCTCAAAAAATTATTCCCCATATTGATGAGCATCTGAAAAGCGTTGTTTTCAAATGCGGAAAAACCATAATTTTCCGAGGAACAAGTCTCCGGTAATTTCTACCATTCATCAGTCACCTCTCAACAGACCTCAGAGTTGTTTTTAAAACGTCCACAAGGAAAATGTGTTGAATTGTAATAAGTTCGCCATCAATATTACGTGTTGTATAGCCAAATCATATTCGCAACCTTTGCAGTTACGGATGAAAAAAAAACTGCAAAACACTGGTTAACGTAATTATGTCTATTTAAGGGGAACGATATTCATCGCTCGATAATATCTGCTGAATGGTAATCAGAGGGAAAATATACGATATAAAATGCGTCGTTAGATAACGGATGATATAATTATGATGTATGAGTCGCATCGATTATTGGAGACTCCACTTTTCTACGTGTGGAAATATATTAATTTGACGCTGTCACTTCATCGTTCTATTTCTATTGGGAAGCAGATGGGCGGAGGGGGCAAACCGGGCACTCGTGAATTTTTTCAAAATCTCAAAGACTCGTTGAATTTTTGAGGCAATGGAATCATTTTTACCCCTAGATCGCACTCAATTGATCGATTCCTTTCTGAATTATGGAAACAAAGAGCACCCGTTTTGCCCCGCTCTCGCCAACAGCGACATATTTTCTCACCGAGAAAAAATTCCCGCAAATAAAAATTTCACGCGAAAAAAATTGAAATTTTGGAATTCAGAACTGATGGAATTATTGACGATTTTTTTCTCGATGAAAAATAGTCTCAGGGTCCCTCTGAGCGAAGGCCTCTTGATCGAACCCAGATCATCATCATCATCATTGTTGTTGTTGTTATTGTTGTTAACACTTCGTCCAGTCGGTCATCACCATGTCCGATTCGAGAGTGTCTCGATTGAAATAAAAAAAAATGATGCGTTCCATTTCTAAATTGAGACAATGATTAAGGAAAAATGATAAAATAATACAAACGGTTCGATGTTATCCCGACTCTGTGTATAAATGATATATGAATATTATTGTAATATGGATTATTCTTCGGTAGATAGACAATCGCTGATGTTCAATTCGTTGAATTATATTTCATGGTATCGATTAATCAAAAATTCGAGTCGTGTCATTGCTATTGCAATCGTCATTTCTGTACATTCATTATTTTATTTGAATGGTCGGTGAAGAATACTCGTTTAATTTTGCGCTCATCAGAGAGAGTATGAAGAAGGACAAGACGAAGTTTAGGAGGTAATTTGCGGCTTCGTTGCTCGATGAATAAAAATTAAAACGTAATGAATCATGAGTAAGTGAAGTATTATTACGTGCTGCTACTGTGATGTTATCGTTGTGTGTACCTGAATCAATCAGGCATACCTTCTCATTTAATTTATTTCATTGAATTTCCTCCTGCAGCTAGTTATCATGTAATAGAGCAGAGTAAGCAATAATTTTGTGTGAAAGATTGTCTATGAAACTCGAAATCATCTGAAAATAGATATCAAACTTTGAATAAAATGAATTTATCACTGAAAAATATATTTGAATTTTCTTTCTGAAAAAAAACATGGGCGATATCTCGAACGGATGGAGAAAGTAAGGTTTTCATGAGGGCAATCGTCTTGCGTCGAATTTTCATGAAGTCCGCCTAGCAAACAAAAGAGAATTGAATGCCATTCTATGAAACATGAGTAAACTGGAATATGGAATGATTCTACTTTCTTAATAATGCGTTTACTAAGGTTTTCTTCGAACACAGTTGATTAGAATTAATAGCTAGAATTATGAGATTACCTCACATTTTTGACGTTAAGGATAGGAGAATCTGAATGCAATATAGTGAAAATGATGATCGATTTTTTAACTTTGAACAAATAATATTAATATCCAAATACAAAATCTCTCATATGAATAAAAAGAAGCTGTGACTCAATATTCCAAATGAAGTTTTAATTTTTAATTTGGTGCTGAAAACACGAGATGACAATATTCTGAGCACGAAATTATATTGATGAGATGAAGAACAGATTAATTGAATTACCGTGTGAACTAACTAAAAATTGATAACAGTGTGGGCACGCACTTTTACCAGAGTATCAACAAACATTGAATTCCAGAAATTCACACTCAAGTGTGTTCTAGAAGGAATTGAATTGTAATTATGATTAAAATCTTGTTCAGTGAGCACAGAAATTATAACATGAGCAAATCATTTATTGTAATATGAAAATTTAACATCTGATGAATTGAGGACCATGATTTTCATCGGTCGTATTGCTTTTTGCAATGAGAATGATTATAAACAATTAATTAAAGTGGTGGATGGAAAAAAATCCCCAAACATTCATTATAAAATCACATTTATTTACAATTTTTCTATTTCTTTTATCGTCAATTTCTTTCATTCTTTTAAACTTTAGTTTGTACAAATTATTGATGATGGTGAGAATCTTACAAGTTATGTGTAACTGAAGGAAAGAATGATTTTGTTGGTGTGAATAAACTGGATGATTTCACACACACGACCCAACTCCCGAGGAACAGTAGTTAGTGCCAGACTAGCCGGATTTTAATATAAAATTGATGGTGTCCATCAAATCGGTTGCATTACCGAGAAAATGTTCCTCCGTTAACTCTCTTTACACGTACATTATCACCACCCAATATTTGTCTCAATCACTTGTATTTTTATGGTCTGTACCACTATTTGTTTCACCACTTGGCTCTGACACTCCAGTCTTTTGGGGTCCAATGCAGACACTTTGGGTCTATTCTTATTGATCGCTTTTCCATCGCAGCTGAATGCTGTTCAATGATATCCCTGGAAGGAGACAATTTTTTGTTAATTAAACTGCTTGACAAAAATAATTTTTGGGAGTTGAAATAATTTTTTTGAATATGGCAATTCTTAATTTGAGAACGTCTCCTTGAAATTCTCAAATGAATTAATCGCATTGAATTTTTATCCATGGACTCACCTATTTAACGTCACAATATACTGCCCCTTATAATAATTGATGAGATTTAAGTTCTGCAACGTTGATATAACGTCTTCCTTCTTGATGGACGTAAGCTCGCAAATTTCGTTAATGGTAATCTGTGCCTTTTCATTCTCCACCAGAGGCTTGACGTTCAGTAAAATATCCAATATGGTGTGGGCCCAGTAGCTCCTGTAAGACAACAGCCCCAAATCGGAGAGTGGTTTCTCTGGCGATCCAGTCTTCCCCTCGAACTTGGAGAGTTCATACGAGAACTCAATCAACAATTTCCCATACCCCTTCCTCTGATAGGGTGGCAGTGTGAGAATACAAGCGACGTTGTAGTCCTCAGTGGATTCTTTCTCCTTCGAGAAATAGCCCACGATGTGAAAGCCCCGTGAATCAAAATCAGTCATGACGTAGAATAAAAATGGATCAGTGTCGTAATACAGTGTCTTGTGGTCCAGAAATAGTTTAGCAAGGAGACAAAGATTCTGGGCATAATTTTTGTTCTTCCTCCCGTCAATTTCGAAGAACGAAATTGAGCCCTTTCGGTATATCTCGTTGCCAGGGGGATGCCTCAGATTGCATTTCACTAAATGTCGCTCCAGGCATTTTCTACTCTTTCTGTACTTGAGGCAAAATTCACAGATGTATATGCATGGCAAGTTGACCATCTCCTGTGGGTACGGACTGAAATACCAGGGCTTTATCCTGTGCCTGCCGAGCTCGATGAGCTCTATATTCTTCATTCTCGTGACGACATCGTCGTGATGGTGGGCCACGAGGGAGCCTGTGGGTCTGGGACCAGTGGTTGGTTGACCTGCCACTGGCGGAGGTGGAGGTGGCGGTGGGGCTGGCGCCTCCTGGGAGTCTTCGTTCTCAAGAAATGTCCCTTTTCTCTTTCTGGATAATTTCTTCTGTTGGAGCTGTATCGCTGCTTGCACTGCTGCTGAACCGTTGACTGGCTCACTGTTGATGACTGCCGGGCTTGGGGGCCTGCTTGGCACTTGCTTCTTTGGGGTCGCTGCTCCTGTGCCTGGCGCCAGCCCGTCTTTCCTGGGGTACTGCACCTTTCGGGTGTCCAGGCAGTCCTCCGTTACCCAGCCATCCAGCCGTTTGTTGACTGGAATTTGTCGGATTTGTTTAGAGGATTTTTTTGGGTAAAAATATATAAGGGCCAGTGGGGAAAAATAGACACATGAGTTTTTTTAAAATCCCCTTGAGTATATGAGATGACTAGTAAATTTTTGCTTTCGAATGAAAGAACTGAAATCGTTAAAATTTAAGTTTTGGATTTTTTGGGTTATATCGATTTATTATGAGACTTTTTCATTAATTGCTTGCTGATAAATCAATGGAATTGAATCATTTTTGTTAAAATTTAGGTATTAACAAAATTTAGAATTTTTCGTAAATTGCTCTGAAGGTGAATTTTCTGATAGTTTCTTCAAATATGATGTTTCAGATTCATTCCATAATATAGAGAGCATCATTCTACCATTCGATTTATAAAATAATTTCGGAAATTATTCTCATAGCATTCAAAAGTTTGTCGATTTTCCTCCTTGAGTTTATTGCACAACTGCAGTCTTCCCCCAGCATAATTTACAAGTTTAATGTTTTATTGAGGGGTCATACTCACAATCGACGAAATGAACGTAGTAGAATTTCGCGCCCCTCATCTCCTTCAAGCTTATTATCTCGGCCAGTGCTGCAATTTCAAAAAATGAAGCCAATTAACTTCCAGATAGATTAATAGAAAAAACAATTTATCATTCATCATGGGAAATTTCTGAATTCAGAGGTTTAGGTGAAATACAGGGTATTTTTTTCAACAAGTGACATGCGTGACATAACCTCAAATGTCGAAAAATAGGCAGAAGTTTCAGGCCAATTCACAACAGTTCTTTAAACAATATTTTGCTATATGAAATATAAATTCATTTACAGTTCAATTAACGAGTGAGTTTTAAAAATAATTGATTGAAAATTTGATATTTTGAATAACTGTCACAGAGCAAACACAATCAATTCACTGTACTCGACTCAACGAGTTGATTAATGTGTTTTTAATTCTGTCGATTGCCTGAAATTACTCGAAAAATGAGTGGATTTATCGTAAAAATACTCACGCCAGTCGTCGGTGCTGTGCATTCGTACCGGCAAGCGACATCCTTCCACCAATGAATTCTGAAACAATAAGTGAGGTTATAAATTTGTATTTTCGTAAATTTCGCTCACCGAATGGCTCTCGCCCACATCTCGTCGTTTCCTGAATGATGGAAACATATTTACGTACCACAGAATCGCATATTGTCTCGCGTTCGTCGTGCTCCTCAATCATTTCAGTCAATAATTATCGCAATGAACCGACTCCAAACACGAGATTGTTTTGAAGCGCCCGAAGCACTGACTACGGCGCCATCGGACATCAACTAAATTTAAAAGGCCTCGCTTGGGTCGATTTCTCCTTCTCGACTGTGGGACAATCGATACACTTGACTCGATTGGGATTAACTGCTGGGGGGGGGGG